TTTTTTTTTTTTTTTTGGCCGAAATTGCATACTATATTTCGTAAATCCTTAGCATTTTTTATATATTAATAGACGTTGATTCCAATAGTTAGGCAATCAAAATCCTATTTTGTGATAAATTAGAAAGTAAAAGTTCCATGACAACAAAGTTGCATTGAAGTGATTAAACAGAAACAAGAACGGAAAGATTGATTGCGAGAATAAGTTGAATAGGATGTCTAAAAGATTACATTAAGCTACAAACAGTAATCTTAAACTCTACCACCAAGTAGTCTTCTCATCTTTTTTCTACTCCTAGGTCAAAAAATGTACAAGGTGTTGAGTTGGTGACTCGTGTAAACCAACATAATTTTTATTAATCATTATCACCAACTGCCTTGGAAAAATAGGCTTACTTATAAAAAATTTAAATTATATATAATTGTAGAGGTAAAGTATAAAACTTCTCTGAGTAAGTAATGGATGGTAAGAAGGATCCTATTAAAATTAAAAGTTCAACTCAGTCCTACAACTAACTAAATGCTCGAACTGAAACTAAATATGGTCAGGAACTTTGACATGGGCAGAATATTTTCAAACCAGACACAACTTGTTGTTATTGACCTTTACATTATTTACCGGACGCATTTGTTATTTGGACTTCCAACATGTGCATCAGTGCCAGCTTGGAGATATCCTGATCGTATTGGAACTAAATATATCATTTACCTTATCAGAGCAACAGTTGCAACAGCTATCTTATTAAGTTGAAGTTGAATTCAATCTTACCAGTTGCAGTTTCTATCTTAATAAGTGCAGTTCCTATAGCTGTTCAGAAAGCACAAAGCATTGCGATGAATCCTTCATGTAAATTTAAAACATTGTAAATCTATGAACCCTTCATGTAAATTTAAAACATTGTAAATCTTTAGAGTTCTTAGTTACACAACCAATTATGCATCTGTTGAAGATCAATTGTTATTAGTATATTTCAATAATTGGCTTTTTAGGCCCATTTTCTTAGAATATCCATTAATATAGTTTGGGTTAGGGTTAGGACTCTATTTAAATATAAAAATACTAGTATTTTATACAAAGGATTACCTGGTTTTGAATAAAATTGTCGGCTTTAAGTTTGGGCAGGAAGTTTCTTCCCGAAGTATCGAGCTTAGGCTAGGTGGGATTCGTTCTCGAGTTAATTTCTTAATTAATAATATTGATTATCTATTGTATTCGTTTGCTTTCACCCTTAGCTCTATCAGCATCTTGTACAGTTTGGGTGCAACTAGTCAAATTTGTGCTTACATGTCACTTGTGAGACTAATAAGATCTAATCTTGAGCATAATGGGTAGAAAGCCTCCCAGCGGACCCAGCCGGGATAATATTCAGAAAAGGGAAAGGGGAAAGCAAAAAGAAAACCATTTTGAGCATACATCATTGCATCACCTTACTTCACTACCCTACACTCACATTACAATATGAAAGGATCATTATCGTCTACGCTGACCCTGCAAGAAGCTATCACAACGAGAAATTTACGATAAAGCTCCTTCTTCAATTCAACAAAGAATAATTTCATTCATGAAAATGGAACCAAACTTCGGGATCAAATTCCATAGAAGACGGAAGATAACAGCTAACACGCTCGAGAAGGCTTTCCAAATAGTCTCACTATCACACCTCATTTACACAAATCTCATCAAACAATCATGGTAATAGCAAGCAGACAGTGAAGTATATTCCTTTTCAGTAATAAACCTTCAAAAATGTTTGAACAGACGATTCAAAACGTACCTTGACCCAACCTAAATTTGAGAGGAGTGAGGCTAGAATCAAATTTAGTCCCATCCAGCAAAGTGCCCACATAATTAACTGCACCAGTCGTCAACATCAGAAATGGTAATCAAAGTTGAAATTCAACAAAGTATTTCCGGAAAAAAAACAATGGAACATTTTTTTTTTCTTTTACACACACAGGAGGATTAAGACTGTTTCCCCAATTCCCCTCCCAGTGACTCGAACTCGAACTCCAACTCGGGATATGGGATACGCCGAGCGAGATATGCGCCACTGCGGCTAAACAATGGAACATATATGATAAACTGTACCTTCAACTTCATCGCCAGATTTAGGATTCTCCCACCCGTCTCCCTCCTTGAGAAGCTGCTTCTTCAATCCTTTGCCTCCAATTTCTCTCTCTTCTCCCACCTTCAAAATCTTTTCAGGATCCATTCCCTTTTCGTCCATCCCAGCAGCTGGCAAATCAAAATCCTCATCCATCTCAGAAAACTTTAACTTGATGAAATGGAGTTAGGGATTATTTTATTTTCGGTGTCAACTTTGAGGTTCTTTCATGGAGGGAGGAGTATCTAGAGAATTCCAACAACAAATTTAAATAGGGAGTACGGTGACTTCAGTTGACGGTACGTTTTACGGGGATTCCAACAACAAATTTAAATAGGGAGTACGGTGACTTCAGTTGACGGTACGTTTTACGGGGTTACTTCCATTTGCAATTGAGAACTTGTTAGCACAACTCAATTGGTATTCACTCCTTATTGCTAGACATGGCCACGGCCCAGCCCGGCCCGTTGTCCCGGTCCCGACCCGGCTCGCAACCAGCCCGTAGGTTGCCGGTTCCGAGAACCAGCACCGTGTCAAGGCAAACTGTATTATTAAAACTACAGCTATTCGGATGGGATGTTCATTTTCATATAGGTTGTGAATCACAATTCTTGTTTCACATAATGATCTTATTCTATCTAAGTGCAAAACAACAAAACATAGAACTTGTTTAATCTAACACGGTTTCTCATTCAAAAAGGGTAAAAGTGTAATATAATCCAAAATCAAGCTTTCAGTATATAACACTAACATGTCCTCATCAACATTTGTACAAACTATATAATTGTTATTCGAAGCTAAATGCAGAATTTGGGCAGTCACATCTCTACCCACTAAACTATCTCTCCTCAATTTATCTCTATAGTTATACACACGTCGCCGAGTAGCGTTGTCTGTCGGGTTTTTAACTTGGATCGCTTCCAAAATTACTGTCGATTTTGCCTGAGCAGCAGTCATATCACGAATAATATCTTTAGATGAAGCACTAAGTTCGCTCATATCAGTCATATGTGGATGACCCTTAGCATATACAGCCAAAGCATGACTATCACCATCAGAACTTACACGGATCATCCAAGATGTAGATTCTGTCACTTGTTTGACTGCTATCTGTAAAGGACATTTACACGCTTTAGTTTTGATGTGATCTAAATCTACGAAACTTCCCTTAACGTTCCCCTCGCTTACACATCAAAACCTTTATCCTTTCTTTTTCTTTTTCTTTTTTGTGTGATTAGAAATGACCATTTCAAAACTATATATAATTGTCATTTCTTTTACCCATCTAGTATCTTCTTCATCACTATGAAAATAGTTCCCATCTAACGAGAGCAGTGTAATCAACACCGTCTCCTCCAAAATCTTCGAATGACACATGCAATATATTTCGGTGTTAATAATTTTACAATATAATAAACTCTAATTTATATCATAAAAATTTTTAAGTTCTGATATAACAGTAATAAATTATAATTTATAAGATAATCAATTCTAACTTATAACATAATAATTTCTAATTTCTAACATAATAATAAATTTTAATTTATAAGATCATCAATTATAATATATGGCATCTAATTTCTAACTTCTAACATAATATTAATAAAGGAGCTTTGTGGGGAATTACAAAAGAGGCGGCGGCGAGGCAATGAGGTGAGGACGCCAACGCGGTTGCCGAGCTCCTCGAGGATGCTACCGATGTCGATCCAACAGGGGTCGCGACGGATAATGCCATGGCGCAGATCGGGCTGGGGTTCCTTGGCCAAGATCTCTATCGAGATCGCAATTGGTTTTGGGATGTAGAAAAGAGATGAAATTGAAACACACGTGTCTCTTCCAAAACAATTTCTGAAACATAAACCGTCAATTAAAATAAAAAATAATAAATATTTAAAAAAAGATAAAAAAAATACAAAAAAGGAATAAAGTTAGGTAGAAGTGAAATACAACACTAACAATCCATCCCCTATATATTAATACAGAACGCGCTGAGCCTACGTGACTGCTTCTGGTGCTTCGGAATCCTATGTGGCAAAATTACATGCTTCGTTATCAGGCTTGGATAAATTTTAATTTAATTCCAAACAAAAAATAATCAGGTTCGGATTACCATAAATATGTTAATTATTTATGGTCATGTTACATGTATTAATTGTATTTTAATATCATTCCTTATTATAACTATTGAATTGTATATATATTTTAAAAGTTAATAACTTTTGTATATTTTATCAGTTTTACATATGTAATATATCAAATTAATATTCTTTTGATGAATTTCGATTTAACATCCATATTGTATGTATAAAAAAATAATTTATATTTATCTTTATAACAATAATAAATTATTTTTAAGATTAATTAAGAAATAAAATTATTTATCAACTAATATATTTATATTTCAAGTAGTTATACGATGTAAGTTGATATAAGTTATAACAACTAATATAATATAACACATGTAAGTAACACATATCATTCTAAAATATATAGTAATATATTTTTTTTTGTAAAAAAGTAAACTAAATTTAATTTAGTTTTCTCATTAATTTTAATTTAAGAATATTTTTTTAACAAGCGCTCGTAAATTACACGAGTGTTGTACTACTGTTAATAATGACAAAAATTTTAAAAGAGACGAGGAGTGTCCTTGTTTCATGACATACCTATCATCCAGCAAATATGTCGATCCCATTGATTGCCAATTCAATCTAATAGCCTACACGCGCCCAAACCCTTTTCCACCCACCCTTTGTTGATCGGCTATCCCCTGGGGTCGCCCAATAGCAGAATTCCTCAATAAACCTCAATCAAAGGAGTAGCTGCAATTAGAAGATTTCCAATTCCTCCTCCGATATCCTAACTGCACGGAAATTGCATCATCAATGGCGACGCCGGAGCTCGCTCAAACCGACCCAGAGGGGATTGAAGGAGTTCGGATGACGTGGCTCAACTGGCCGCGATCCAAGGTGGAGGCTTCAAAGTGCGTGATCCCGATTGCGGCCTCGATTCAGCCGATCCGCCCGCACGTGGATCTGCAGATCCTTCCGTACCCTCCCCTCCGATGCAAGACGTGTTCCGCAGTGTTAAACCCCTATTGCAGGGTTGATTTCACGGCGCTTATATGGATCTGCCCCTTTTGCTTCATGAGAAACCATTTTCCGCAGCATTATTCTTCAATTTCGCAGACGAATATGCCTGCCGAGTTGTACCCTAATTTTCCCTCCATCGAGTACTCAATCCCGAATTACCAGAACGCGCAGAATTACAACCCTGCCTTTGTTCAGTCTCCGATTTATCTGTTTGTTCTGGATACATGCATGATCGAGGAGGAGTTGGAATTTGCCAAATCGGCTCTTAAACGGGGTGTTGGGATGCTTCCTGATAATGCCATGGTTGGTTTTATATCCTATGGTACACAAGTTCAAGTGCATGAACTGGGGTTCTCGGAGTTGTCTAAGGTGTATGTGTTCAGGGGATCGAAGGACATGTCTAAAGATCAAGTCTTGGAGCAGCTGGGACTTGTCTCTGGTGGTAGACGGGGTATTCAGAAAGGTGGTGGCGGACCTAGCCCAATGGCTGGAGCTGGTGCCACTGCAGGGATTAATCGGTTCTTGTTACCTGCATCTGAATGTGAATATGCGCTCGATTCGGTAATTCACTAGTTATTATGTGTTAATCTTTACTGTTCAGATAATGCCTGTTGAGAACTAATAATTTTAGCGTTTCCTCAACTGTTTCTCCATTTCGGTGCCGTGTAACTAGGCTGTTTGGAATTTGGTATGCGGATATTTGTAATACTTGGAACTTTTATTTCGATAAATTTAAAGACTTGGTGCTTTTGTTTTCCTTTTGCTTTCCTTATGCTACAGTTGTTGGATGAATTGGCAACCGATCAATGGCCAGTGGCACCAGGTAACAGGGCATTGAGGTGTACTGGAGTTGCTCTGAGTGTTGCAGTAGGGTTACTAGGTGCATCTATGGCCGGAACTGGTGCACGGATTATTGCGTTGGTGGGGGGTCCATGTACGGAAGGTCCTGGAGCGGTAAAACTCTACACTTCTTATAATTTTAATATCTTCAATTGTGTGTTAGTCTTTTCATATATTTTTGTTCGTTTTTTTCTTTGTTTATACTTCCCCCAATAAGTCAATCTTTGGTGATGTACTCTTTTTCTCTGCCATTTCCTCATTAGTTTGTGAACTTCAACATTGAGATTCTGTAGACAACTTTGGTGGACTACTGAAATGATTCTCATTGTTCCTTTGCTCATGTTGCTTATTGTATTTGTTATATCTGTAATTATGGATATACGCTGTGTCAACCTCGCGGATTTAAATATTGGATGAAAAAGTTTGTGTCAATATTGATATTTGTTAATATGGCTTAATGTGTGAATTACTGAGATTCCCATTTTACTATGACATTTTTACTATAATTACAATATTACATACTATCATTCTTGGATTATGTGTGTACAATGTGCAAGCTGCAATTGTTAAAATGGATACAGTTTTTACACGCTCAACTAATGCACCAATTATTATATTTTTTCCACAACTATCTTGATTTTGATGTTGTCTTTTCTAGTTGCTGGTATCTACATATTTGCTTGTGTAGGAATTATTCTATGTATACCTCTAAGCATAGGATTTTGATCAATGCCGCTACTGAATAATATGCAACCATTTTGTGCTCCAGTGTGAAACACGTTGGAGTATCACTTGTGAGTTGTCAATAAATTAAATAGGGAAAACGAGTAGTTCATAAGCCAAGTGGGCTACTTCTATCACCAATTGGTTTTGAGATGGAGCTTCACTTAGATGGCAACTAGGATCACTCTCTAAAGTTGTGCTTCACCCCTGTAAGCCTAACAAAACAGACAGCTTCTTTACAGCAATATGTATTCACTTGTTTTTCATTGGTTCATACTCTGCCGTTGATCTAATTACTAGGACTATTTTAATATCATTTGATTTCATGTTGTCAAGATGGTAATTATAGGCCTTCCTTTGCTGTAGATTGTATCAAAAGATTTGTCTGATCCTGTGCGCTCACATAAGGATCTTGATAAGGATGCAGCACCTTTCTTTAAAAAAGCCGTCCAATTCTATGACGAGCTTGGTAAACAGTTGGTTGCTCAGGGTCATGTGCTGGATGTTTTTGCTTCTGCGCTCGATCAGGTTTGCGACGTGCATTTGCTAGAGCATTTCCTAGCCCTGCTTTTATTCTACTACCAAAGATGGCTAAAAAATAAAAATAAGTTGTTGGGCTGTAGCTTCGTCTTCATGCTATATGTACAATGTAGAGTAAATAGAGAAAGAAAGGTGAGAACTCACGGTTACACTGAAATGATGATGAGAGAAAAAATTTGAGGAGAGAAAAAAAGAGAAAGTGAGATGAATGAATAATGTATTTATTGGTTGGAGATTTTTTTTTTTTTAAATGAAAAGGTATCAAATCTCATGTTTCTTCCCGTTAACCTTCTTGGTGCATGCCAAGCATGATATCACCCCCTCCCCTACTGAGCTGAAGTACTTAACTAAATGTGCTTACAAGCACAATTTGATAATTTGTGTTTTTATTCATCCAGCAGTGTTTTAGCCTCCTGTTGATTTCAATCACATCTTACAGGTTGGAATTGCTGAAATGAAGGTTGCCATTGAAAAAACTGGTGGACTCGTCGTGCTATCAGAAAGTTTTGGCCATTCTGTCTTCAAGGATTCCTTCAAGCGTATTTTTGAAGATGGGGAACAGTCGCTGGGGCTTTCATTCAAGTGAGTTGTTATTGACAAGAATATATTCTGTCATAAAATCAGTCTTAGATACATTTGAGTTAGCTGTGTGCGCTTTGAGAATTTCAGTAGATGCATTTCTTCATTTCAGTTTATATCAAATGTTTGACTGCTCGTGTTTATGACAATCTTGATTTGGTCCGAGCTCTGTTTCTTCTTTTTGTTCTAAATTAGCAGCATTTCCTCATACAATGTCTTATTTATTGGGTCTCAATAAAATCCACCTGTTCTTATATCTTGTTCTTATATCTTCTGGAAATTCTGGCTCACCAGACTCTAATTTGGTGTAGCTGAGCTGCCTATGTAAGCGTACAGTATATCTCATTCGTTTTGCACCTATTACCCTTGTCTTTGTTTTAATGGCTTGTTTTTTATATTAGAAAAACATCCTTCTGAATTTCTGTGTCAAAGCAGGAAAAGCAGCTGGTTTGTCATTATTACTGTTGGTTTTGTCCATAGTTTTAAATGGTTCTGCCAAGGCGAGAGGCGGCAGATGTGATGTGAAAACGCATCGCCACTTCCTGAGGGTTCCCAGTTATAAAAAAATAGGGTTTACAATTATGGCAATAAACCAAATTTCACAACATGAAAATCTGAAAATTTTAGATGGACCACCGGCCAATGCATCCTCTTTCCGACCTCTGACCGCCATCTCGCCGCTGCTGAGGGGATCGCCTCTGACTGTGCCCCTTGTTGCAGTGCCTTCGTCTCCTTTTCGTTTTTTTTTTTTTCTTTTTCTTTTTTTTTTTATGTTTCGACTTTTTCTGTGCTTATTTTCCCTTGCTGCGGAGAGCAACTTTGACAGCTGTCCAATTTATTTATTTTCATTATCTTTTAATAGTTCTCCTTTTTCTGCCATTTATCCCAAAAAGCTATTTGAATGCTGTCCAAACTTTCATTTCTTTCTTTTTCTGTTTCTTTTATCTTTTCATTTTAGTTCTCTGTTTCATTTTCCATTTCTCTCT